TAATTAATTCAATATAAAAAAATATAAAAAATTATTTAGTTTCGGTTCTTATTCGATTCTTCGGTTCTTGGTCTAGACCCGAGATCTAACCCAAACTCATCGGTTGATTTGGGTACTCATTCGGGTATTTAACTTATGAAGAACCGCTCGATTCGGTTCGAGACTTTTGAACACCCCTAGTTTAGTTAGCAGAGAAGGGAAAGCAGGCAGCAGTGGAATCAAGAAAAACCCCATCTGGCAAAGCCTAATTATTTAGGGCGTAGCAGGAAGATTCGCCGGAACCTGAGAGCTAGCAAGTGAACAGAAAGAATTCCATGTAATAAAATTTGTAGTTAACGTTGTCTTGTGATTACAATGCTGTTAAAGGTTTCTCTTGTATTAATAAGTGTTTAAGCTGTGATGATAATGGCATTGGCTGGCCACAGCCATCTTCGTAAACTCGATGGTTCACACGATTTTGCTGTTCGTACTGAGGATCTCATTTTGTTGGGGTTTTTTTTTCATTACTAAAGTCTTCGAGCTTCGTCTTATTAATCCTGGCAACCTTTTCCCTGGTTAACCACCTGGGTAAATCGAATGCTATCATGAGTTATACACACTTCGACCAGACATTTGTAAAGCGATTGTCCTTCTTGTAAACCTTTCTTTACGTTATGCAAAAGGGGCTCTAGAAGGGTGACATAGCTCATCATGATTTTATCTCAATGGGACATCTGTCTTCCAATATATAGAGGTGTCAAGATGGACGGGCCGACCAAACCCGTAAAAATTTGCCCGGATCAACCCGGGACAGAGGGCCGACTCGTGACCCGAGCGGGCGGTTCACGGGTTAAGGAGGTGTGACCCGCGGATTTCGCGGGTTGCACCTTCACGGACCGCGGTTAACCAGCTGGCCCGTGAAAATTTTTTTTAAAAAAAAATTGAAAAAAAAAAAGGGAGAGAGTCAACCTAGTTGGGATGTACTTAAATTATAAATTATAATAAAAGTAGGAGCCAACCTAATTGGGATATACTTATACTATAAA